ATGATTTATTATCTTAAGAATGTAAATCCTTTGAAAATGAATAACTTATATGCCATTTGAATAAGATTCTAACATTTTTATTTATATAAAATAATTTTATAGTTCATATGCCAGAAAAGGTGTGTAAGAATTAAAATATTGAAAAGAATAATGAAAGCAGATTTTCCTACAAAACTACAATTGCCCAGTCAATATGGCTCAGTAGTTGAGTGTCAACCTATGAACCAGGAGGTCACAGTTGGATTTGCTGTTAGGGAATATGACCAAGTTTTGGGTTTGATTCCAAGTGTAAATAGGAAGCAGCCAATCAATGATTCTCTCTCATCATTGATGTTTCTCTCTCTCTCTCTCTTTCCCATCCTCTCTGAAATCAATAAAAATATTTTTTTTTAAAAACTACTTTAATCAAAACAGTCTGGTATTGGCATAAAAACATATTAAATAGGTTGTGAAATGGAACAGAAAGGCCATACTAGAGGTCCAATGCACAAAGATTTGTGCAAGAATGGGCCTTCCTTCCCCTGGCTGTTGGCACCGCTGCCTTTCCACTTGGGCCCAGAGCCACCATTCCACCTTCCCATGCTTCCCAGAGGCCCAGAGCATCTGGGGTGGTGCAGAATACCTGCATCATCACCTTGGTTACAACACAAGCATCCCGTTCGACACCCTCACATCTGTGTATGCAAATTAACCCATTTTGGTGGGTTAATTTGCATACTCACTCCTGATTGGCTGGTTTGTGTGGTGAAGTTATGGAAAATTAGCATGTTACTCTTTTATTAGGTAGATATTTATGGGACTTTAATATAAGATGAAAATGGCATTCTCGTTAAAAAATAGGAATAATAATCAAGTAATGTTATTATTAGAAACCTGACTCGTCTACTGAAATAAAATCAAGTTAGACTCCTACCTAACACTGTATTAAAATAAAATTGATGGAGAAACCAAGATGGCAGCATAGGTAAATGCCTAACTGCAGCCTTGCACAACAATTTCAAAAAAATACAACTAAAATACAAAATGGACATTATCCAGAACTACAGGAAAGTTGACTGACTGGAAATTCTACAACTAGAAGGAAAAAGAAAACCAGAAGGAAAATCAGAGGAGCTGTAAAAGCCTAAGGTATGGAGACATGATGTGCACATGGGAAGAGGACTGAGCTGGAGAGGAGGGGGCGGCTGAGTGCCTGACTGGCATTCCCTAGCAGGAAGGAAATAAAAGCTCTGGACTGTGCTGAACCCCAGTTTCAACTGCACTGAACCCTAGTTCTGGGCGAGACCCTGGGGACCTAGGCTCATACAGAGGGAATCTAGGCTGTAAGGCAGAAACTCAGGGGAGCAGCGAAAGGCAGAGTCCAGGAGGTGCGCATGTTGCGTGAAGAGGACGGACTGTTGACTGTGCCGCTGGATTGCCCTAGCAGGAAGGAGACAAAAGCTCTGGACTGCACTGAACTCCACTTCCAAACCAACTTCCAACTGAACTGAACCACAGTTCGGGGTTCATTGGGGGAAAGACTAGACTGTCTGGTACTGGGCAAAACTCGAGAAGTGCTCGTAGCGAGTGCCGAAGGACACTGAGGAACACTGAGACTCAGGAACTTCATAGGGCAGGGCTCACTGGAAGCTAAGGCTGTAGGCTATACCCTGAAACTCTGTCCCATCCAAGCTGAGCACAGAGGCTTTTGCAATTTTCCAAGTCTAGTCGAACAAGGCTGTCTCCGGGCATAGACACAGCTTATCTTCACAGCCAATTGGCCTGGAGGTCAGTTCCTCCCAGTGATATCAACAACAATCAAGACTTAATTACAATAAGGCTGTCCACACAGTCCACAAAGGGATGCACCAAGAGTGTCCACCTCAGGTAACTGGGAGGCTGACCCACTGTACCATATAGGACACCTTAGCACACAAAGCCACCCTACCAATTCAGGGAACTGTGAAAATGTCGAGACAAGGAAATAGATCACAAACAAAAGAAATGGAAGACAACAAGCGACTGGATATAGAGTTCAAAACCACAGTTACAAGGTTTTTCAAGAATTTCCTAGAAAAGACCAATAAAATAAATGAGACCTATGAGAATATGAAAAGGGATCAATTAGAAATAAAGACTACATTGTCTGAAATAAAAAATATTATACAGCCTCCTAAAAACAAAATGGAAGGTTGCAAGAATCAAGTCAAAGATTTGGAACATAAAGAGCCATAGGGTACTCCTCTGCAGAAGCAAGAAGACAAGAGAATCCAGAATGTTGAAGATAATGTAAGAAACCTCTGGGACAACTTTAAGTGAACCAACATCAGAATTATGGTAGTCCCAGAAGAAAAGAGAAAGCAAGATACCGAAAACATATTGGAAGAAATAGTGACAGAAAACTTCCCCCACCTAGTGAAAGAATTCGACTTATAAGTCCAGAAAGCACACAGAACCCCAAATAAAAGGAATCCAAAGAGGACCACACCAAGACACATCATCATTAAAATTCCAAGAGCAAAAGACAAAGAGAGAATCTTAAAAGCATTAAGAAAAAAGCAGGTAGTTACCTATAAAGGAGCACCCATACGACTGCCAGCTGATTTCTCAATAGAAACCATGCAGGCCAAGACGGGAATGGCAAGAAATATTCAAGGTGATGAATAGCAAGAACCTACAGCCAAAAATAATCTACCCAGAAAAGCTACCACTTAGAATCGAAGGCCAGATAAAGAGCTTCACAAATAAAAAAATAAGCTAAAGGACTTCATCAACACCAAACCAGAATTATATGAATTCCTAAAGGGGGTTTTTTAGGAAGAGGAAGAAAATAAAGATAAAAATTATGAACAACAAATACGTAACTATCAACAAGTGAATCTAAAAACCAAGGGAATTAAAAAATCTGATGAACAATATTAATTGGTAAATATAATAGAATCAGAGGCATGGAAGGGGAGTGAACTGATGATTCTCAGGGAAAAGGGGAATGGGTAGTGTGGGAAGAGACTAAACATAAACTGTGCACCTATGGATGAGGACAATGGGGGGGTGGGGAAATGGCAGAGGGTGGGGTGGAAACCTGGTGGAGGGGAGCAATGGAGGGGGGGAAATGAAGAACATTTGTAATAATATGAACAATAAAGATTTATTTTAAAAATAATGAAATAGTCAATAAAAATAAAATAAAATTGATGTATTATAGGAATAACTTTTAAAACCTTATTAAAAGTTTAGAATAAAATTTGCAAGATTATTTGGATAAACTTAGGCTAGGAAACCTTATAGGAGACAGAAAAAATATTTTTTTAAAAAGAGAAATTATGTAGTATTTCATAAATCTAAAGACCAATATATAAAGTTTTAACTTTATAAAGTATCATAGTTCGAATCAAGTAAAATTATATTTTGACATGTTTAAATTATATTAGAATGATGTATTTGTGATAATTAGAATTTTTTTTTTTTAATCATCATCCGAGGCTATTTCCCATTGCTTTTTTTAGAGAGAGTAAAGGAAAGAGAGAAGGAGAGAGAAACACTGATTGGTTGCCTCCTGTATACACCTTGATGGAGGATTGAAAATACAACCTAGATATATGGCCTGACTAAGAATCGAACCTGCACACTTTCGGTTTATAGGATGGCACTCCAACCAACTGAGCCACCTGGTCAGGGCATGGAATTTCTATATTTTATGTCCTGATTTTATTTATTTATTTATTTTAGTTAAAAGAATTGAAAAGCTATACATGTGAATACCTAAGAGAACTGAAGAAAATACATTGATCAATATAAAATAATCCTATAACTAAAAATTTTTAAGTTTGTCTAAATATATATCTGACTCTTTAATGCCAGAAAACTTACAAAATATAATCTATTGCCTCTTAAATTACTTTCTTTACTACCTTATTTACTTTATAAAAAGCTTAAAGAATAGGAGCTAAAAACTTTACATAAAAAACTACATTATATTTGGTTTGAAATATGTGCTTTATCACCTAAAACAAAATTGAAATTCCCTCATATTTTTAGGCTTTATTTTAAAATTTTATACATATATATTTTAAATTACAAATAAACTATAAAGATATATATGCTTTATGTTTCTCTCATTTACTTGATTCCAATCTTCTTGCTTAAGAGGAAGAGAATTATGCAAAGTCTAGATAGTATACTCAGATATTCTAATAAACCAGGAGATATGAATTATATGACAGATGTCATTGGAGAAAAAAAGTTTTGAGCCAGAGGAATAGAGAGATATTATAAAACAAAACTGGAGTAATTATTCAGATTTTATGCTGAATTGCTTAAATCTACTAGTTAAGGAGTAAGGTTTTGTGCTGGCTACTGGGGCTACCATTTAGTTCAAGAGCATCAGGATTCTTTTTCCTCTTGAAACTTATATTCTAGTGGGAAAAACAAATCTGAAACAATTATCCACTACTCATTTAATTATGGTTATGGTAAATGCTAAGAAGGCAAAGTGCAGAGTCCTGAGAGATAAAAGGGGTATCTGATCTAGTGTATTTTTTGGGAAAGTAGTTGGGGAAGGCTTTCCAGGGGATGTGAAGTCTAAATTTAAGACCTCCAGGCTGAGTTAGAGTTAAAGCTAGGGTAAGATGGGGGAAGCCAGGCAGGGAGGTGGTGTCAGGGGAGAAGACAAACTCTTTGCAGGAGAAAGGTTGAAAGTCACTGAGGCTGCAGTGGGAGACAGGATAAAATAGGTGAGGCAGGTAGGGGGGTCTCATAGGCTAAATTAAGTAATCTACATTTTTTTTCTTATGACAAATAAAATACCACTGAAGGTTGTTGTGTGTTGCTTTTGTTTTTTAATTGGAAGTCAGTTTGTTTTTTCAATAATTCCATCTTAACTTTCAAATGTAAACTTTTTAAGTTCAGTAGGTTTTCTTATGAAGACTATTGTTAAGTAATTATATGTGAAATGGCTTCCCATTTCTGCTTCAAATTCATGTCTTCAAAGACTGGTATCTGGAAAGAATACCATTGCATACCCTGTTTCCTCTGGAAATGCAGAGGTGGTGCTTCCATCCATCAGACAGGGGTCCAGAGAAGGAGAATCAGAATTTTTTCTATCTTCATTTGTAGCAATATTGGTTACTGGATGTTGCAAGTCCCACTGTCTTGCTATGTTGTTAATTGTTAACCTTTTCTTCTCCTGTGAAAAAGTTAATTGTAACAAGTTCATAAAGCGATTTTGCTGTAGGGGAATATCTAAAGTGCATACTTATCACACTTTTAAAGGGAGTCCATTCCTTAAAAGTAGCTATCAAATTTATATTTTTTAAAAATATTTTTGTTGGCTTAATAGAGGAAAGGAGAGGGAGAGAGAAAGAGAAGCATCATTGATGAGAGAGAATCACTGATCAGCTGACTCCTGCATGGCCCCTACTGGGGATCGAGTCTGCAACCAGGAATTGTACTGCTCAATCAGTGAGCCACACCAGCCAGGTCAAATTATTATTCTTAAAACAAAGTACAACTGGCCTTTATTTACCTTGTGCATTTAAACATCTTATAAATTGTCTAGCATCCTTAAAAAAAAAAGAAACATGTACAAACAATAATTACTCCTATTGAAGATATAAAAATTTCACTACCTGAAAGTTTAACAGAAATTTATACACTTAAGTGTTATCTGAAATTTTAAGTTAACATAAATTTACATACCTTTTTGTTTAAACAAAGAAAGAAAAACTGAATAATATTTTAATTTTCCTACCCAATAATTAGGACTAATATGATGAAATAATCTTGGTGGGGAGGAGAAAGGGAAAGGAATTGATTAATGTTTCAAGTTTCACAGTATAAATTACAATGTCCAAAAATTAATAATTATGTACTGACTACTAAAAGAAATTGTATAAGTTGGAATATTTCTAGGCAACTAGTACCTTCCTAGATGAAGAATAAATAATTCATTATATGCAATGGATACCTTAGAGGAGTGATTCTGAAACTTTAGAGGGCCTTAAGTCACAGAAAGCTTATTAAAACATTAATTGCTAGCTCAAACCCCATTCTGATTTAGTGAGTTTCAGGTGGGGTTCTTGAATTTGCTAATGAACTTCACTTAGAGTACCACTGATTAGGGCATTGGGGCTCCATTCTCTCACAGAAACTTGTTGAAAAAGTAGTTCCAATCTACTGAAAGAAATAGTGACACATTGAAATGTTTCTAGTCAACTTATATAAATGTATTGGAGAAAATAATCACTATTCTAGTCTATTAAAAAGTTAACTATACTATACTATCAAAAATGAACATTATTATATGGCACAGTAAAAGCTGAAAACAGACACTTTCTCTTTCTTTTAGGAAGTTTTTCACCCATTTGCTCATTTTACATGTGTATGTGTATAATAATCACTTTTAGTTCCATCTCTGTGCCTATATTTGGTTATCTAAAATTTTTAGCATGTAGGAATGGCACTGAATAAAAAGCAATGACAAGGGTAATTAAAACTAAACTTTTAAAAAGTCTATTTCTGATTATAGCATTTTTTCTATTGCTTGATATTTCAAATTTGTCTATATAGCTAAGGAGTTATACATAATAAGCACATACTTCTGAGATTTTTTGACATTTTATGTATGTTCTTCTTATCTAAAATAGGAATCTACTATTCTACTGTAAATTATTTTCCAAATACTATCAAATAAAGAGGGAATGCTAATTGATCATTATGACCTCACAAAGATGGTAGCACCCACAGCCAGTAAGGAGAGAATATGCTAATTGACAGCCACACTCTGAAAGATGGCAGCGTCCACAGCCACAAGATGGTGGTGCCCAGTCTCCTCAGCCCCACCAGGGCGACAGACACACAGCGTGGCCTAGCCTGCCCTCAGGTGGTTCTGGCTGCTCCATGCATCCGCCTCCATTGTCTGCCCGTATCATCCCCCTCCCCCCCCCCCCCCCCCGTCCCCTCAGGCAAGCCTTGGATGTTGGCTGCCCAGCTGCCCAGGGCTGGCCCGAGAGACAACCAAACGACTGAACAAACAGGCTGTGTGGGGTGACCAGGCAGGCAGGGGGTGGGCCATGGGGGCAACCATATAACTAAACAAGCAGGATGCAAGGGGCAACCAGGCAGGTGGGGGGCTTGTGAAGGGCGACCTAGCTGGCAGGAGGGGCTTTTGGGGGTGACCAAGACAACAGGGGTGCAGTTGGGGCAACCAGGCCGGCAGGGAGGCAGTTAGGCTGGCAGGGGCAGCAATGAGGGGTGACTAGGCACCCCCCACCCCGCCCCCGGCCATCTGATCTTAAGAAATTCTGCTTCAGTAATTTGCAGATGACTTGGAAAATCCAATTTTTAACCTAAGCAAAGCAATTATTTCTATTTATTTCCAAGACTACTTTAAAAGAGAGAGGGAGAGTGGGTTAATGGAGAGTGGCTATCATGAGGGCTCTATGCATTTGGTTTTCTGGCTGACTGGAGGTTGACAGAGAGAAATATTTATGGATTTTTGTTCATTTATTCACTCATTCACTTATGCATCTGACAGCAGCAATGGCATGGCAAGAAATAGTACTTTTTCTAAATGAACCAGTCAGAAGTTTGCCAGTATTAGTATCTGGCAATGGTAAATCTTGCTCCTTCAAAAAATACTGCCTGCAAAGGGAGGGTAGAAAGTGGGGGATAAGAGATCAACCAAAGAATTTGTAGGCATGCATATAAGCATAGCCAATGGACACAGACACTAGGGGGCTGAGGGCATGGGCTGGGGGTGAGAGTGGCTGGGGAGAGGTCAATGGGGTGGGGGGAGACTTATGTAATACAGTAAACAGTAAGGAATTAAAAAAAATACTGTCTACAACTATATTTCCTATAAGCCAATGTGTTTTTGGCCAACCATTAGAAATATTCCATTACAGGGAAAACTAAAATCTTATTCGCTAAATCAATAAAAAGTAAAGGTGCCAAGAGGAGGGAAAGCACATCTAATTAATGGAATGAAGGAAAACAAATGTGGGGAGGAGTCAGTACGTAAGAAATAACAGCAGGTGAGAAAAATCTTAGTATCCAGAGTAAGGATTCTAATTACTTTTGAAGTAGTAGTGCTGAGCTGAGAGGGCTTGGGACCAAATTGTTTTTCTTTTTTGAGTAGTTTAAATAGAGTAATTTTTTTAAGAGTAGTTTTCATAGAGTAAACATATATTCTTTGATCAGTTTTGACAAATGCATATACCTGTGTGTAATCCATAGCCCCACCAAGATACACAACATTTTGAACACCTCCCTCCACAACACACACACTTTTTCTTGTTTTGTAAATTTATTATATACAACTTGGCATCCCTAGTAGTCATTTTTTTTACTTTTGAACACCATTTTAATTTTTTAAAAATTTATCTTTATTGTTGAAAGTGTTGCATATGTCCCCTTTTAAAAAGAAAAGCATCTAGGTAAGACACAAATGAGTAATGATCATCAGGGTGATATCTCTAGTTTAGAGCACAGCATCGTACAAGACATAGGCTTTCAGCTGTCTCTATTATACATTATAATGTTAATATAAAATATTTTAAAATAAAACATTTTATTTAGGGAAATAAATATCTGATATGCTGAATCACCTAAAACCAGTTTATAACAAATTTCAATTCCTGTATTTCTCAAAATCATTACCAAATCTATAACAGAGAAGCTAACAGAAAGTTTTCAAATTTAGAACTTTAAATGCCATGAGAAAACACAGGTGATGCACTTGTATGGAAACAAATGATAACTTCTGTTATATTTATTTTTATCTCTTCCTTTTAAAATAGCTTTTGCATGAGTTTTATAATGTACATTATATTGTATTTCAGAAGTACAAATTTATTTATAATTTATAAAAAAATTTAGGGGTGTTTATAAAAAACATTCTATTGATAGAAATGAACATTTTAGAGTTGAAAACCACTTTTCCAGCTGGCTAGCTGGCTTCAGGGCAGTGGGTATGAGCATACACATGCATGCAGCTATGGGAGAAAATACCTTAAGCAAGGATTGTTTATGACTTTCCCGCCTCTTCTCTTCCTCTTTTTTGGCTACAACAGATGCCATTCGCCTTTCTTCTTCCTAAAGAAAATTTTTTTAAAAAAGTATTAAGTATTTAACCTCTTTTATGCTAAATATCATTGGGTCTATCAGTCTGGTTTTCTTTGTGAAAAGCATACTAACTTAACTAATAGAAACTATGTCCTTAAAGAAAGTTATCATGTTCATCTTTATTTTGCTCTTTATTCTTAAAAAACCTACAGTCTTAACTCTATTCCCAACTATGGAGGTGAGATAAATCTAGCTAATACAAGAGAGCAAAATGATGAGAGAAGAAAAAAGTGGGGAACAGATTGTATAAGCTTGTATAATACACTGAGCACAATAGTTCCACATAGAAAGGCTTAAATTCTTTATTATGAAGATTAAAAGGATCAAAATGATACTTCCTTTTATTTATTTTCTTTTTACTCCCCATTTTTTAATTAAGGTATTATATGTGTACATATCTTACCATTGCCCCCCTCCCCACCTCACTCCCATACATGCCTTCACACCTCAGAGTTTTGCGTCCATTGGTTATGCTTATATGTATGCATACAAGTCCTTTGGTTTATGTCTTATCTCTCCCATATCCCCCTAAACTTCCTGCTGTAATTTGACATTCTGTTTGATGCTTTACTGTCTCTGTATCTATCTTTTTGTTCAATAGTTTATAATGTTCTGTATTATCCATAAGTGAATGAGATCATGTGGTATTTTTCTTCATTAACTGGCTTATTTCATTTAGCATAATGTTCTCCAATTCCATCCAGGTTGCTGCAAATTGTAAGAATTCCTTCTTTTTTATAGCAGCATAGTATTCCTTTGTGTAGATGTACCACAGTTTTCTTATCCAGTCATCTGCTGACAGGCACCTAGGCTGTTTCCAACTCCTAGCTATTGTAAATTGTGCTGCTATGAACATAGGGTTGCATATATCCTTTCTGATTGGTGTTTCCAGTTTCTTAGGATATATTCCTAGGAGGGGGATTACTTGTTCAAATGGGAGTTCCATTTTTAGTTTTTTGAGGAAATTACAAACTGTTCTCCACAGTGGCTACACCAGTCTACCAGCAGTGCACAAGGGTTCTTTTTTCTCCGCATCCTCACCAACACTTGTCCTTGGTTGATTTGTTGATGATAGCCATTCTGACAGGTGTGAGATGGTACCACATCGTCGTTTTGATTTGCATCTCTTGGATAATTAGTGACTTTGAGCATGTTTTCATGTGTCTCTTGGCCTTCCTTCTGTCTTCTTTTGAAAAGATTCTATTTAGGTACATTGCCCATTTCTTTATTGGATCATTTATCTCCCTTTTTTTTTTTTTTTCCTTTATTTAACATGGTATTACATATGTGTCCTTATCCCCCAATTGCTCTCCCTACATAGACTCTTTTTTGAAAATCAATCTTTATTGTTCATATTATTACAAAGGTTCCTCATTTCTTCCCCCTCCACCAAGTACCCACCCCACCCCCCGCTCCCTCCCCATCCCCCATTGTCCTCATCCATAGGTGCAGAGTTTATGTTCAGTCTCTTCTTCCCTCCCTTTCCCCAATAGTAAATCCCTTTTCAGATAGTAAATCAGTTACTTAGCATTTTCTCATATCAATAATACCTCCACATGCACAATGATACACTTCACACAAAAGACATTTCCCAATAGGTCAACTAGCCTCATCCAGGCCCCACCCAAGGCACTCACAGATCAACACCCCAGTCCTATACTAACTCAACACATCCAGATCTAAGCCTTCATTACTTGATTCAGCAGACCCTCAAGTTCCCGCGAAAGTTTCCAACCATGTCTGAGAGGCAGCCTTGGGGTGGGGGCAGGCGGGAGCGAGCTGTTCCGGGCCTGGCTGCTCCAGACCTGGCCTCTGTTGCTCTGGTTCGTTCCACAACCAGCTGCTCCGGGTCTGGTCACTGCCGCTCCCAACCTAGTTGCTCTGGACTTGGCTGCTGCTGCTCCGGGCCTGGCCGCACCCGACCCAGCTGCTCTGGACTTGGCTGCTGCTGCTCCAGGCCTGGCCGCACCCGACCCGGCTGCTCCCACGGGCCTGGCTGCTCCCGGCCTGGCAGCCGCTGCTCCGGGCCCGGCCGCACCCGACCCGGCTGCTCCCCCGGGCCTGGCCGCTCCCGGCCTGGCAGCCGCTGCTCCGGGCCCGGCCGCACCCGACCCGGCTGCTCCCCCGGGTGTGGCCGCTCCCGGCCTGGCAGCCGCTGCTCCGGGCCTGGCCGCACCTGACCCGGCTGCTCCCCCGGGCCTGGCCGCTCCTGGCCTGGCAGCCGCTGCCCCGGGCCCGGCCGCTCCAAGCCTGGCCACTCCCGGCCTGGATGCTCTGGGCTTGGCTACTGCTGTTCTGGGTCTGGCTGCTCCCACCCCGGCTGCTCTGGGCCCGGCTTCTCCGGGCCTGGCCACTCCGGGTCTGGGTGTTCCTGGACTGGCCACCTTGGGCTTGGCCGCCTCCGCCTCAGGCCTGGCTGCCACTGCCCCAGGTCTGGCTGCTCCAGTGCTGGCTGTTGATGCTCTGGTTCTGGCTGCTGCTGCTTTGGGGCCTGGCCGTTGCTGCTCCGGGCCTGGCTGCCACTGCCTTGTTACTGGCCACTCTAGGCCTGGCCGCCGCTGTTCCAACATTCTGTCCTTTTTTTTTCTTTTTCTTTTTTTTTTTTTTAAAAACGCATTTATGTTGCTATGTTGGCTGGTGAGTTGAGTTCTGACTTAGTCTTTGATTTTTCAAGAACTTCTTTGTATTCTTTCTTAAGTAATTTTATTATCTTTTGCTCTCACTTGATTTCTTCATATTGAGAACTTCTTTGGTTTCTTTCTCCTTGTCCTGGAAACTCAGCAGGTTGGCCTGTGGCACACCTTTGTTCTCCACGGGCTCCTGCGCTCCTTCAGCCTGTTGCCGGGGATGGCGCCTCCCAGGAAGCAGCCCCCGGCCTTGGCTCCATTGCCCGCGCTCAGCGGTCGAAGGCTCAGGGGCACCCACCCCCCCAGGGGCCCTGTCGCCCGCCTCCTTGCTGGTGCCCGGTTGGCCGGCATCCGGCAGGGGCTCCCGCTCCCTGCCGTGTTCCCCCAGCCCGGAGCTTTTTTTCTCCTTCCCGCTAGGGGAGTCCAGCATCAGTGTCAACAGACTGTCCTCTGCACACAGTGTGCGCGATTCCGGGGGCCCGGCCTTTCGCCGCTCTCCCCAGACTCCACCTCACAGCCCCGTCTCCCTCTGCCTGAACCTAGGTCCCCAGGGATTGGCCCAGAACTGGGGTTCGGAGCAGTCCGGACTGAGGCTAAGTACCGCCGGAGGCCTTGTTTCTTCCGGCTAGGGTAACCCAGCATCAGAGTCAAAATTCAGTCCTCTGCATGCGCATTGTGCGCGACTCCGGGGGCACTGCTTTTTGCTGCTCTTCTGGGCTTCAGTCTCACAGCCCCGTCTCCCCCTGCCGTAACCTGGGTCCCAGGGTCTGGCCCATAATTGCTCAGCGCTGCCGGTTTGGGGGGCTCAGCGCTGCCGGTTCGGTGGTTCAGCCCAGGCTGGGGGTTTTATTTCCTTACTGCTAGGGAACGCCAGGCAGCACCCAGCCCTTTCCTCCTCTCCGGCTGCGACCTCTCCGTGCGTGCGTGCGGGCGGGCGCGCAGCATGTCTCTATACCTTAGGCTTTTTTTCAGCTCCTCTGATTTTCCTTCTGGTTTTCTCTTTCCTTCTTGTTGTAGAATTTTCAGTCAGTCGACTACCTATAGCTCTGGGCAATGTCCACTCTACATTTTAGTTGTATTCCATTCCATTTATCTTCCTTTTATTAAGTTGTATAAGGTTCCAGTAGATGGTGGAGATTAAACCTTTATCAAGGATAACATTTACAATTATGTTCTCCCATACAGTGGGCTTTCTTGTTGTTTTGTTGATAGTTTCTTTTGCTGTAAAAATAAAGCTTTTTATTTTGATGTAGTCCCATTTGTTTATTTTCTCTTTAGCTTCCATTGCCCTAGGGGCAATATCAGTGAAGAAGTTCTTTCGGCATATGTTTGAGATTTTGCTGCCTGTGGATTCCTCTAGTATTTTTATGATTTCCCACCTTATGTTTAAGTCTTTTATTCATTTTGAGTTTATTTTTGTGTATGGTGTAAGTTGGTGATCTAGTTTAATTTTTTTGCATATATCTGTCCAATTTTCCCAACATAATTTATTGAAGAAACTGTCTTGACTTCATTGTATGTTCATGCCTCCTTTGTCAAACATTAATTGAACAGAGTGGTTTGGGTCAATATCTGGACTCTCTATTCTATTCCATTGATCTATATGTCTATTCTTGTGTCAGTACCAGGCTGTTTTGAGAACAGTGGCTTTGTAATATAGCTTGAAGTGTGATATTGAGATCCCTCCTACTTTATCTTCTTTTTCAGGATTGCTGTGGCTATTCAGTTTTGTGGGGTTTTTTTTGTTTGTTTGTTTTATTTTATATATATATATATATATATTATTATTCCAGATGAATTTTTTGAGAGTTCTTTCTAGATCTGTGAAATATGCCATTGATATTTTAATGGGGAGTGCATTAAATCTATAGATTGCTTTGGGTAGTATGGACATTTTAATGATGGTGATTCTACCACTCCATGAACATGGTATGTTCTTCCATCTGTTTACGTCTTCTATTTCTTTTTTTAGTGTCCTATAGTTTTCAACTTATAGGTCTTTTACCTCCTTCCTTAAGTTTATTCCTAGGTATCTTAATTTTTTTGGTGTGAAGGTAAATGGGATTGCTTTTTTAATCTCTGTTTCTGTAAGTTCACTATTGGTGTATAGAAAGGCCATAGATTTCTTGACGTTAATTTTGTATCCTACTACATTGCCGAATTCATTTATTAAGTCTATTAATTTTAACAATTTTATTTTATTTATGCTTGCAAATCAGAGTTTTATTTAATGATAAAATAAAAGTGAAAGTGAAATGATAAAATAAAAGTTAAAACTCTCCTTTGATATTAACAAATTATTCTCAATTAATATTATTCCTTTTACTTTGTTTCTAAATTGAT